AGAGAGAGAGAGAGAGAGAACGAGAGAGAGAGAGAAAGACAGAGACAGAGACAGAGACAGAGAGAGAGACAGAGAGACACAGAGACACAGAGAGACACAGAGACAGAGACAGAGAAGAAGACAATATACCCACCTCCCTCCAGCCCAGATCCCGTATCACCAATCTCAGCACGTCCACGTTCCCCCTGGCCTTGTTGGTGTCTATGGTGACCACACTCCGGGACACCGTCTTGCCGCCCAGCCGTCTCTCCTGCGTCTTCTCGCGGTTCAGAGTGTACATCCGGGTCAGTTCCCGGCGCCTGGCGATGACTTCCCGCCTCATGTCCGTCTTGTATGGTTCGGTCTTGTACATGGACAGTCGGCTCTTCCCGTCCTTCTCCTTTTCTTTCTCCTTTGTCGACGCCATCTTAAGTGATACGAGCGATCGGGCGAAAAGAAAATCCCAAAACAGCCCCTAAAAACTTTTTAAACCCCAAAAAACAACTACAACGAACTTTCTGACTGCCTTGTCTCGCACACTTCTCCGTATTATGCGGGGCAAGAGTATGAAATTTCAGGTACACACGCCCTCATGTCGTCAAGTTACAGCCATGGCAGGCTGGAATTGAAGCAAGTGTACCGAAGAATTTTTTTTCTTGAACGCACAATAATTCTGAGTTAATTACTGCAGGTGTCTTTTCTTCGTGAATAAACACTGGCGGTGATTTATAAACCCTTGTTATACTTCGTAATGCAATTCTTCACCGGAAATTAATGAATAGGTATGTGAGTAACCAAGGTTGCGGTGATAATGAAAATTGAATTATTTTTTTAAACGACACACACACATACACAAATATGTATGAGGCTGGTCAACGGTCTATAGATTTGCCACGCCGAGCACAAACGGATGTTATTACGTCATGACAAAGGGCGCGGACTTCACACATCGAACCAGGAACAACTGCTGGAGTTTTTCTCACGAAGACAGATTTCGGTAATCCAGGTCGGCCATTCTAGAGTGTTCTGAGACGATTCTACAGTCCAAGTCGAGATGTCTGTAATCCAGGTCGGCGATTTCTATCCGGAGTCAGAGACACGCAAACTTGACACATTTCTCACAGCGGGTTCACGGCTGGAAGCGGAAGGAACAACGACAGAGGCCAGTTTTTTGTTAGTACACAGCATCCTGCCC